CAGTCGGAATCATTGCAATTGGCACACACTCTTTAAAATCCCCCGTATTAAGTCAAAATTCTAACCAATAAATCTATTTAGTGCAGCACTCAGTGCAGCATTTTGCTATTACTGTGTGTCAGATTTGACACATTACGAGGGATATTTACATAGTGTGTGCCAATTGCAATGATTTCCACTGTACATCTGCCAGGCGAAATCTTTGAACAATCTGAACATTCTAGTAGGGACTGATAGAATTGCAAATTCGAACAGTGCTAGGAACTGGGGTTTGGAAATTGATGTTACTTTAAGATTTTCATCTCACATAAGTAACTGCATAAGAAAAGCGTTCACTAATCTTAAACTCATATACAATCAGCGAAATTTATTGGATGTGAAACTAAAAACGCTATTATGTGACGGCTTGGTACTTTCTCAATTTTGATTTTACGATGTAGTATATGGTCCTTGCCTTTTAAAACAAGATGAGAGGCGGATCCAGTGTATCCAGAACTGTTCGGTTAATCGGTGGTATTAGGAAATACGATAGCGGCGTGACTAGAAGGATGAGGGAAATCAGATGGATCTCCATGAAATAAAGAAGGCTTCTTCTTAGCCTTGTATTGTATAATAAAATCATGTTAAATACACGTCCACAGTATTTTTATCAGAAAATTAAATTAAGGTATGATGCTCATAATTTAGATCTAAGGCACAAGCAATTGATTTCGCCACCTCTGCATAGAACATCACAATATGAAAGACCATTTAGTTACCAAGTCTACAGTTGCTACAACAAGGTTCCAAATATATTAAAAGGACTTACTAATTTTAAATTTAGATTAAGTTAGGTTAAGATAGGAAGCTAAGCTTTAACTTCGCCTTTTGTAAATCCATCTTGCAATAAGTCATTTACTATTATTATCATATTATTATTACATCGCAAAATAAATGTAATTTCATCATTGCCTCTACAAGATGTTACCATCAGATTTAACCATTGACGTATCGTACTGATTCGAAAAATTTATATTATTGGCACTTTCCATAAGAATTTAATGTGTTAAAGAGAGACATAGAAAAGAATTATGGTAGGAAATTACTAAAAAGTAAAAAAAAAAAAAACGAATAAATGCGATACGTCATAGGTTTTGGGACATCAGAAGCTTTTAAAATCTGAAATAGAAAATCAAAGGCCGCATTTAAAAAAATGAAGTTAATGATGGTGGCCCCAAAGACGAAACGTCAGATTTTAAATTTGATGGTAGCATCTTGTAGAGGAGAAAAAATGGCAATGTTGAAGTGACATTTATTTTGCGATATCATTTCAAATAGAAACGATTTCGACAAAATTCGTTTTTTTTAGATATCTTCGGAATCATTCGGAATTTCTGAAATATCAAAACATGACGCCACTGAGCTTAGTAATGCGCAACTTTTTCCAAATTTAACCAACCCTGTATCTCTTATGGTTACGGAGATCCCTGAAGAGTGCATCCTTATCTGGAACACCCTGTGTACTTATACATGGGGCCCTGGCTCAAAGCTGGTGGGATAATTGTTATGTTTCAGCAAAGATTTGACTTTTCGGATGCTCTCATTAAAAAAGGGGGGGTGGCTTAGTTTCTTGGCTCTGTGAAGAAGGCCGGTAATTGTGCCGATTTTCTGAGATGCTGGGTGGTTGGGAAAGTAATTTAATATTCTTCCTGATCTGGTAGGTTTGATAAACCAGTTGGGTTTTAATTTTTCATTGTCTCTCTGGTTGTGTCAGTATCTAGGAAGGCTATTTTGTTGTTCACATCCCTTTCTAGTGTAAATTGTAGATTGGAATGGTAATCATTGAAAAAGTCTAGAATGACATGCGAATATTCAGCAGGTATGGCTGTGATTGATCGATTGGTCAACATATAAGCAGAAAAAAGAAACATTAAATGGAAGAGTTTTCAAGACCGTTAAAACCCGGTCATTCATTGAAATATTAGGCAGAATGGGGCTTAAAGGATTGCCCATAGCGCTGCCATCCATCTGTAAGAAAAAGGTATCTTTAATTGTAAAATAACTGGAGTCAAAACAAAACGATATCATGTTTACCAATACATTTTTCAGAGTGTCAATGTAGGCGGAGATAAAACTCCAGTCTTTTTTGAAATATCTATTATAAGTTGTTTAGGAATATTTGTGAACAATGAAGTTACATCTAGAGATATTAGCTCGTCTCCGGCAAAACGACTGATTTAGAAATTTCTACAAATTCAAACGAGTTCCTCTAAAGGTATATGTTGTAGTAATTGGGAAAAAGACCTGATGTAAGAAAGATGCAAAATTGTAGCAGGGCGTATTAATACAACTAACAATTGGCCTTAAGCTAACATTATTTTTGTGTGTTTTCTTTTGGGACAATGGAGTCGTGAACTTTCATTATTTTTTTTCTTGGATTTCGTCAATAACACTATTTTCTCTTAGCTGTTTGAAAAATAGGTTGGTCTTGTCCTTTAATTTCTTTATGGGGTACCTGGTGACGGTTTTATATACCCTTTCGTCGCTTAACATTTCACACATTTCGTCATTGTATTCTTTCCTATCCATGACTACAGTTGAATTACCTTTATCCAATTTACCCACCATAATGTTTGGATTATCTTCCAGAAACCTTTTCGATGTCTCGACATCTCGAACAATAATTGCACTGTGTGTTTTTGGTGTTTGGTAGTCATTGTAAAAATTTGTCAAGATATCCAATTGGTACAAATGGAACGTAGGTGAGATGATCCAGATTCATTTGATTGACACTGTAAACTTAAGATCGGACACTGAGGGTTTAAGTTTTATTTACAAAAACATTTTAGAAAGTTGGCCAGAAACAATTTGGCTTAATTGCAATAAATGTCTTAATTTCCAATTAGATAGATGGATTGCTGTATGTTATTCACATTGTGTCTTGTTTTTTTCAATTGGTATTATTTTTACTTGTTTTTCAATCCGATACATATAATAATTATACGAACTCTGGATTAACTGAGCCAATCTGAAGAGCCAAAGACCCTGATTATCCAAGGTACGCGCGTCTATACTTCATATTAACCGAGTTTCTAAAATATACATACATAATGTACAGGGTGATTCATTGAGAATGGCACTCGGCCATATCTCAAAAACTATTCATCGTACTCATGTCGGAAAAAAGTTATCCCATAAATATGGCCAAGAGAAAATGCTGGAAATATATTCCATCTTTCTAAAATGACCGTAAGGGGGCGTAACCCAACTGTCAAAGTACAAAAATGGTTTTATTTTTTGAATTTCAAATGGAAACGTATCTCATAAATGCTAGCAATAGATTTTTGATGAAATTTCACACAATTTTGATCTATGACTTTTTACCATAACTTATCGGATAAGATAGTTATGAGCTGTCAAATATTGCAACGGATAACTTCAAAACTACTCAACGAATTGGGTCGATCTTAGGTTCGTTGGAAAGACAAGAGTCTGTTCTTTAATTTTTTTGTAAAAAATTCTAACTTCAGTTAGTTGGACTGACTCTATGGGTGGATATTTGAAAACAATTTTTCTTGGAATTTTCAAATGGAACGGTATATTTAAGATATGTTCAATCGATTTTTGAGGATGTTTTACATAGTGTTTCTTTATTATACCTTCCTACAAACGAATTCCAAAGAGTGTTCAAATTAATTTTATTAAAAATAATATTTAGTATTTATGAAAAAGCCCTCGTAAATTGAGCAGATACTAGTAAAGTATGTCAGGCTGACACATTTTTGAAACTTCAAACGCTATTTTCTAAAGTCAAAATGCATTTCCCAAATGGAGAAGCACAGGACATCCTTGAGGTTCAGCATGAATGTAATGGAAATGCAGCAATCGCAGCCACTGGAATCTAATTATTTTGAAAATGGACAATGCTTATAAAAAAAATATATTAGACTGGTTTTGGATTATCTCTGTTAGTATTTATAGAAAGAGCAGAATGAAAAATGAATAAATCCACAGTACGCGAGAGCGTAAAATCTGTTTTTTTTTTTAAAGATAAAAGTCAAAATGACATTATGTCGGCAATACAATGTTAAATTGTCAATGCTTCAAATTTTTTATGTAGAAAAGGCTTGTGTTGCCAACATAGTTACTAAATTTTTGACTTGGGGAATTATCTTTAAAAAAAAAACAGACTTTAGAATACGCGAGAGCCGAATTTATGCGGGAATGACGTCTAGATTTTAATTTCCAAAATTATTAATAGATGGCACCACCACTTGAGTAGTTTACTATTCTCAAAATAAATATGTATTTCCTCTTCAAGTTCCGTATCCTACAACATGCTCGTGAATTAATGGCTATCATTACATGATCATTGCATAATATGTTACTATAATAATTAACTAACGCACTTTTTCCATTATTTAACATTCATCAATGATGACAATCAACTGTCAGAAAAGCGAAGTCATTATTTACGAGGGCTTTTTCATAAATATTGATTATTTTTGATAAAATTAAATTTAACACTCTCTGGAATTCGTTTGTAGGAAGGTATAATAAAGAAAAACTGTAAAACATCCTCAAAAATCGATTGAACATATCTTAAATATACCGTTCCATTTGAAAATTTCAAGAAAAATTAGAAAAATGCAATTTTTTTCAAATATCCACCCATAGAGTCAGTCCAACTAACTGAAGTTGGAATTTTTTACAAAAAAATTAAAGAACAGACTCTTGTCTTTCCAACGAACCTAAGGTCGACCCAATTCGTTGAGTCATTTTGAAGTTATCCGCTTTCTTGAGTTGCAATATTTGACAGCTCATAACTATCTTATCCGATAAGTTATGGTAAAAAGTCATACATCAAAAAACACTGAAAAACTTCTCAACCACCACTGTTTCGTCAGACTGTGGAATCAACTATAAAATTACTGAGCCCTAATCAAAATAGTAACAAAATTGATTCACCTTTACTCTTGATCGTCCTCCCAACTCTAAATTTATTGTTTGTTTATGCACAGCCATTCTAGACGACACTCGGCAGTTCCTGTAGTAAATCTTCGCGAATACGCGCCTCAAGCTCCTCATGGAGATTACGTGCAACCACCGGCAGCACACTCTAGTGGCAGGGATCAGCATCTACTAGCGCCCCCAGGAAAGGGTTGGGGACCTCCACAAGCGATACCACAGGGCTATAGGTAAGCCACAATCAATTGTTTGCATGCGGTTTTTTTTGAGATACTGGGTATAAGGTATATATAAAAAACTTAACAAGATTAGATTAAGGGACAGTTAAATTAAATGAAAATTAGGATTTATAGGCTTATATCCATAAAAGTAAAACGGGTAATGTAGTTAGTGTTGTTTAATGCATGCTCTTATTAAGACACAGCTCGGCGCACCTATCGCCACAACCATTAGCAGCTGCTCCCAGACTGTCACCACAACACCCGTTGGCTGCAGGTCAACCTCTCTATCATCATCAGACCGAGCTGTATAGGCGACCTGTGTATGTTACTACTGCTCAGCCTGCATATTTGCCAGCTACTCATCAGGTGGCACCAGGAGGGTAAGTCTATGACAAATAGGTAGTCAATTTGCTTGCTCATAAAATAATTATAGTTTTTGGCTTTTGCCTGTTTTGGTATTGGTAGTCTTTATAATGAGCTTCTACACAGACTTATGATTCAAAAGACACCCAACCACAACTAAACAAGCATGCTGTCTTTTGAATATAAGTCAATGTGTGCTTTCGAGTTTTTGTTGTTTTGCTGGCATGATAGGGTGCTAATTGTGCTCCCACTAACATTATTTAATTTTGCATTTAATCAGTTTTCATATGTTGCATTTACCTAATTTTTCGCCAATTTATGTGTGCTCCTCTCAAATTCCAAGAAGATAATATTAGTGGATAATCTCATAGTACCCTTTTTCGCTTTTTTGGTGTTTTTTTAGTTACAATTTCACTTTTTCTTTTCAGCAACTTACCATCACACAACCATAGTAGCACGTTTACTCAATGGCCAGCTAACCATTTTAGTTTAGCAACATCGTCTACTCAAAATGTCACACAATCTACCTTAAATATTAGTCCATACAGTAGTCACTTGTTAAATAGTTACGGAAGCGTATCTGCGAATAATAGTGTTAGAAATCCTGAGCCTAGTCCTTTACATGCTTTACTAGATCAGGTTTTAAATGACGGTAGTTTTGGTCAATCGTCTATGCCTATGTCATATTATGAATATGATACGCCTATTGATTACAGTAATAATTTTTATACTGGATTGCGTAGGGAACTTGACTCGTCTATTGACGATGGTTTGCCAGCGAAAAAACGGAAATTAAATTTTAATTGGCTTGTTAATTAAAGTTAAATTTTGACAGATAAAAGCAATTCTTCGAAAATCTTCTATTGAAAATTTGAATATTGTTTTTCACATACTGAAATTATAAGGTATGAGTTGAAATTTTGAAATAATATTCTTATGCAATTTTCTGTAAGAGATCTTTTTTAAAGAATTGAGCTTCAGCATTATGCTTTTTTGTAGGAAATTATATTAGGCATAATTTTACGGGCTTGTTATACCGAATTTAGTTTATTTTGATAGTGTAGGTGAAGTTTTTACTGATACTCTAAAACTTCAGCTAATCAGGGTACCTAATTCTTTTTGCGAGTAAAATAAGCATAAATTGTATTCTAGTTTTACATTACTTTGGATGGATTTTCAAAGATATCGGGCGAAAATTTAATCCTCAAGACGTTACACTTATCATATAACATTTAATTTGTAGATAAATTAGTTCATCCTTACAGGATAAACTGAGTCTAAATAGTACCATATTTGAGCAAATAAAAATTAGTGCATATTTTGATAGGATGCAGGAAATCCCTCAATATTATTTAGTTAATATTTGGGTTGTGTGATTATTGTATACGCTTTAGTTATTTAAGTTATTTTTGTACAAATTATGCTTTTGTATATTTATTTTCTTTCCTGCATTGTGGCAAAAGTTTTTTTTTGGTTTGTAGCTTTTAACATTGCAACTATTATTATTGTAAACTTTACCACTCGATAGCAGTTTTTTTCTTTGTTTGTTTGTTCAAGAGAACATATTGTTTTTATTCATTGAAGCATTTTATTTGCACAAACTTTTTACTTTTACCAAGTGGTAAAGTAAGGTTCTTTGTTTTTCTTTTCATTAATAAACATTTCATTTCGTCAATCATAATTTTTGGTGTTTGTTCTGAATTTTTCCAATACTAACCTTTCGATTTGCTTGGTAATTAACTAATATAACCCAAAATAATGTATTCCCATGTTCCATTACTTAAAAAGTATCATCTGCATTTAAACTCTGCTAAATCTGGTGGATTACTCAAGATATATTATTCAAGGAACAATAAAGTACATTTCAACCTATGACTATCTCTGTAACCATTGCAACTAGAAATGCTAGAATACTTATTGTTCAGAATATAATAAAACCTCTCATTGCATTTATTAAAAAAAAATATATACATATATTTTGAAAGAAATTTTTAGCTTTTAAGTAAGTATTTTTCACTTGTGAATAATGCCCTGATAAGTTTCTGCGTCGCTTTCTGACTATTTAATTCACTAAAACTACAAACTTTTTTAAAATTCTATTATTTTTTTAGTCGAGCTTTGCCGCCTCCACCGGCTCATCATTCATCTGCTCGCCCAGTACTGGCCAGCCATCCAAGCCACCCGTTGCCAGCCCATTTACAGTTTCCATCGCACGCGCAGGTAACTTTCAGCATTAAATAAATATAATAAAAGTTGCGTCTGGATTTAATTCTAGATAGTGTAATAAAATCTCCAGGAATATATAGATGATAACATGGCAGCATTAAGGCATTGAGTCTTGGATAAATATATCATGGCTTGAGCAAAGCCATATCGAAATTTATAGCGCTTTAAAAATATTTGTGCGCAGTCTAATTCTATTTATTTTGGACACTTATCATAAATGAAAACGCAAAATGATTTGCTTCATGTTTTATGATACTGTGTGAAATCAAATGTTTTTCTCAAATCAAATATTATTACTATTTTTTTCATTCAGGTTGCAGCAGCAAGTTATGGCTTTGCACCTTTGAGTCCTGGTAAAGGTTATCAGACGAATTTGTGGTTCACCGAATAGTGGTAAGTTACTGTTATTATTATGATCAGACAAGCGGCATAACTGCTAAATATTACATGGTATTTTCACTAGTACGAATGTGCTTTTTGAAATGTAGTTTATACAAGTAGTTCATTATTTTTTATTCAATTGGAACTATGTTCAAACAGATTCTCTCTAGTTCGCCTCCTATTTTTGTATATCTACACTGGGCCAAATTAAAGTTCCACACTTTTGTATTGCAACGGTTTGATTTATTTTTAGAGGGCAAGTACATTGCTTTGTCCTTATTGGCTTGTGAGTTTTGATTAAAAAGTATTAGACGGGACCGGACTTGCGTGACTTTTTCTGAAATGTTGGACTCAACGTCTTTGCAAAATAAATCACTCGTTTTAGCTGACACTTTTTTTTTGGCAGCCAAACTACCCGAAATACATGCTAAAGCGAAAATGACGTTACGTTACGACGTTTAAAAATGACTATGACAGAATAGCGCGGGACAGAATGGTGCTTAGAGCAGGTAATTTCCTAGGTGAGAGGAGTAGGAACATGAAGTTGGAATTTGAAGCCGGTTTTTTCCAGGTATTTTGAGATCCAAAATAATGGCGGTATAGGAAATTCAATTATTTACCTGTCGTTTGGTGTACAAACACCTGCCAAAAACTGGCTTCACTTTAGCATAGTTTCATAGCAGAATGGCGCGTTCCTACTCCTTATGTCCATAGGACAGCGCTTTACCTGCTCTAAGGAATGGTGCGTAAATAACAGCGCAGGACAAAACAGAGCTGGACAAAACAGCGCCAGACAAAAAGGCACAATGAATTTTTAAATAATCAAGAAAATGCAGAGTTATACAAACTAACCTCTGTTCCGGAGAGACCAAGCATCTTTTCTAGACCTGCTTATTGTAAATGAGAAGAAATAAATTTTTGATTTTCAAGAATATGCACCCCTTGGCAAAAGTGACCACATTGTTATAACTGCTAAAACACAGCCTCAAATAATTGCACAGCCTACACATAAAATCTACAAAAGGAACTTTTGGAAGGTAGATTACACTGAAGTAAACCAAACCCTTCAGCAACAACTTGCACAGGAACTAACCCACATTCATTTGAAGAAATTCTTTGGGATTTAGAATTAACAAGCATAAATGCCATACACACCACACGAAGTTAATGCCCAAAAACCATGATTAACTAAGGCAGTATTTAGGGAAATACAAAGGAAAAGAGAATTGTGGCACAAATATAGAAACAGAAACAACTATACTGAAGAAAATTACGTTGACAAAGTAACTCTGGTTCCATTTGAATCTGACCTGGAGGTTGCAGAATGTTTTGCACAGCAATTCCAAACTGTTTTTACTAAACTCAGCCTTACAGATATTAGACCAACACTTCCAGTTGAATCCTACTCCAGAACAGAAATCACCACCATAAATTTCACCCCAGAAATAGTAGAAATCGCCATTAAGTCCCTAAGGGTGAATTCCAGCCATGAATTTGATGAGATCCCTCCTCTGGTAAATGCATGGAAAAAACCATTGCTGAAGAACTCACAAGCTTCTTCCTCGAAGCTCATATTGGCACCCCAATAACATGGTTTTCTCCCCAAAAAATCGACTTTTACGAACCTCTCAACCAGACTCAATATGTGTACAAAGGCGGATAATGAGAATGATCCAATTTATGTAGTTTTCCTCGACTTAGAAAAAGCATTTTTGAAAAGATAACAACAATATACTTATTACACAAGCTATCTCATTTTGGAGTCGGGGGCGATTTACTGCGACTTATTGAGAAATTCCTTTCAGGTTAGGACAGGAATATGACTCTCAGTTGAATACTCTGTACACAATGGCGTACCACAAGGCTCATTCTTGGGTCCCTTGCTTTTCTTGGTGTATTTGTGTGACTTATACCAAAAACTGAAGACCAGATGTGAATCGTTTGCACATGACACATGCCTGTCCTGCAATCCACTACTACAATTTGCACACCTACAGGAAGACCTGCACATCATCAAAGAGTGCACAATGTTTTGGAAAATGCCTTTGAATGACCTCAAGTGTACAGTTCTACATATCGGCCGGAAAAACCCTGAACATGATTACCTCCTCCAACAAACGTCAATTGGAAAAGTTTTGTGCCACAAAGACCTAAGAATAAAAATCACATCAGACTTGAAATAGAAACAACACATCACTAAACATACAAAAAAAGCCAATTCACTAATCTACCTCATTCAAAAATCTATCTAAAGAAATGGTTCTAAGGCTCTACAAAGCTTGTGTAAGACTAAAGCTCGAATACGCTCATTCCATCTGGAATCCATATTATATCAGACATTGTACTGATCGAGACATTACAGCGCCGTATTACAAGGATACCTAATGAAATCAAAGAGTTCCTTATGAGAGCCGCCTTACCTTGGTTTCCATCAACTATTTTAGGGGAGCCTTAACGATAAGTGTTCCCTAAAATGACATGAAAAGAAATAAGAATCAGAGGATACCTTATTGAAACTCACAAAATACTGAATGGTCACTATGCATGTGACATTAACTTCGCCACCAATACCAGAGGAGATAACTAGAAACTTGAGAAAGAAAGATGTAACAAGTTACCTAGAAGAAATTTCCTGACAAACAGAGTGTTTTATCAGTGAAATAGACTTAGTCCTATCACTGATATCTATAATAATAATAATATTATTAATAATAATAATAATAATGAAATCAGTCCGCGTATTATTATTAGATACTTTCGACCTGACGATGATTATACCGGTATATCCATATAAATATACTCAAGGAGTTTAGATCCTGTTGGCCTTGGTTTAAAGATAACTTTGTAAGAATATCTATCTCTATTATATTTTGTTGTTTGTCATGCCTCGCATTTACTTACAAAGTTAATTACGTTTCTCTCTAAGCTATGCCAATAATATCGATATTCTTGATATTTTTTGTCATTCCACGGTGTCACGCCTTTCTCGTGTGGTCTCTCTATATTATCCCTTTTCGTTCATCTTGATGTAATACGTCTAGTAATTACAAGTTTATAAGAAATATATTGGAATATTTCCTGGAAAATTCTTATTATTACAGATTCCAATTCATTATTTGGGAAATATAAACAATGCATGCAAAGTATTTGAATTTCATCCGTTATTGAATTTTCATTTATAAAGATTAAGAATCTTTTCCGTTTCAAATAATCTTGTATTTTCGTATGGTTATTTGTCTCTTTGTTGTCCATTTGAAAATGGCATGCTTTTTGAATGTATTTACAGATTTATTTACGTAGGTTGCTCCTGAAATAAAACGACGTATAGTCTGGCTAGCCAAACGGCGAACTCCAAGAGAATTTGCTGCTCTGCCAAACTTGACGGAAACAATGATAAATTAGTTGGTGACATATTTTTTTTGCTGTATGGCCATGTGTAGTATTTCGAAATAGAAAAAAATCCGGCAACATTGCGAAATGATTGATGTGGAGAGGCGTGATTATTCAGAGGCATGATTCTATTGGTTAGAGTCTGAACGACAGCACGCACTGGCGTGGTTATTTGCGAAACTAGAGAATTTTTTTCTAATAATTTTATTGATTTATTTCCTTGGTGTTTCCAGTGCCACTGAACCGAAAGACATGGCTGTCATCAGGCGGTGTCAGTTGAGGTGTCAGTGGATATTTTTAGGTTACGCCCCAGTTTTCTTCCCCCTTTCGTCTCTACCAAGTTACCACTTGCCAAACTATACCTATTGTCTCTGTTTCTGAGTTACCGATTACTTCTGGATCTTTTTTTTTCGCCTTATGTTCCTCCTGGCTGTTTCTGTTTCCCATTTGTTTTTTTCTGGTGTTTTTTGTGTACTCGTATCTGGTTCAGATGACTTTCTTTTTTCAACTATAATGGTGATTTTTTTTCTTTAGTTACCTCATCAGTTTTTTTAGGTGGTTAAGGTTTGATTCGGATATCAATCAGATACCTATGATGTTGATTTTCGGATTCTTTTTATTTTCTTCCTGTTTCCTATTCTGGAACACTTTTCTAGGTTTTTCAAATAAGTCTTCTTGTGA